CACACACACACACACACACACACACACACACACACACACACACACAGACACACACACACACACACACACAAGCAACATTCTCTCTCAGCACAAAGGAACTCTCCAATCCCGTCTCCCTCTCTCTCTCTCTCTCCCTCTCTCTTCCCCCTTGAGAATCTTGACTCTGAATACATCCGCTGCTACTCAGCTCTATCCCTACTACTAACTTATGCGGCTATGGGCACCTTCCCTCTCAGTGCAACAGAATGCAACTTTTGCCTTTCGGATTTGACTGTTTACCGGGTGCCTGTTGGACTTGACTCGTAAGGTACCCGACTGCCTGTTGGACTTGACTCTCCATCATTCTCAGGAGAGATTGTTCTTTAGCCATAGGGGGGGAAGAGAGAGAGAGAGAGAGAGAGAGAGAGAGAGAGAGAGAGAGAGAGAGAGAGAGAGAGAGATGGGAGAAAGAGAGGGAGGGAGAGAACCATAGCCAGAGAGAGAGAGGGAGGGAGGGAGGGAGAGAACCATAGAGAGAGGGAGAGAGAGAACCATAGGGAGAGGGAGAGAGAGAACCATAGCGCGCGAGAGAGAGAGAGGAGGAGGAGAATGATGACTTCCATCTGGGGTTATTAGCAACATATGCTTCAAGTTTGAAGTCCTGACCTCAGGATGGATTGTGGTGATCAGCGATGTACTGGGCAACGAAACGTCCCAGACATGAATGACGCCATTCTTGTGGCCCGTGAACAAAATGCTCGCTTTCACACCATCTTTTGAATCTTGAAAAGCCGGCGTCCCTGGCGAACCCCCAACAATTGGCCATCGTGCTCCTGTCTGCAAGTAGCTTGGTCCCATAACTTCTGTTTGTCTCGGAAGCTGTAGGAAGAAAATCAAGTTCCATCACCACAACAGGAAAAAAACGTATATAAGTTGTTAGAGCGCAGTCCTGGTTCTTTTCAAATGGGAAATCCGAAGACGGTACTGGAGATGGCCGAGAGGAGACATCAGCTTCAACCTGTTCTTGTTCCCAAATCCACATTTCCGCGCATCCAATGTCGCCAGCACCAAACGACAGATGAAAGGTCACATCCACCCTCTCACGAGCGGGGTCTATCTTTTGGCCATTGCTCACTGTCATCTAAAAGGCAAGACACTGCAAGCAGCATTCCAAAAGACTGACTTCCTTTCCGCTCTGTCTCCTCAACAGCACCCTTTCGTACCCCATCTCGTAAGAAGCCAACCACCTACCTGATCACCATCCTCCACAAGCTAAACCAGACCTTGCAGGCTTGCAAAAAGTTGCAAGGCATGAGGCCCACAATCCTTGTGCAAATATGGTTAACGTGAAAGATATCCATCCACTCTACTTTCTCCTTGTGCATTGCTCATCTTTGCCATTCTCTTCATCCCACAAAGCCACCAGCTGCCGTCTTCACCCAAATACAACATACGGTCATTATTGTTGTCCGTATTTAGACTGAAAGGTGCCCCAAATGCAGCTATAATGACCATGAAAGGTACCCCAAACACGGCTACAATGACCGCACGTTGTACTCGGGTGAAGACGGTATGCTTTCCCAATTCTTCAGTTCTTTTATTACATCTTTTTGAGACCGAATGTACCAAATATGACACACATGACATATTAACAGAAACGCAGTCTTTTCTCCCCCTCGCTCCCTAAACTACCCTAAACTACCGTCTTCACCCGAACAGAACGCCGGTTATTATAGCTGTATTTGGGGCAACTTCCAGTCCAGATACGGGGATAATTACCGGGCGCTCTATTCGGGTGAAGACGGTACCCTACATTGTTTGCAGGCTAGTCTTCGAGACCTTACGGAATATACCAAATGTGACACGCTGCCGTCCTCCTAAACTACCCTGCTTTGTTTGACAAAGTGTTATGTCGCGATGGAAGTACTGACCTGCAGTAGCATTGACAGTGCGAGGGTCTCCTCCATCGACATCCATCCCCGCATGAGTGTCACCGGCGCTGAGACCAAAACAGAGCGGAAAGGTTCAGCCTTCAGTCCGGGCTTCCCTTCTCCGGAATCGGCGAAAGCGATCGCCATAGCTGCCTCGTCGTAGACATGTACAATACCGTTCCCCGAAAGCACGATCGCGGACGAAGCCGGCGGTATGTAGACATTTCCTGGTGTCGGAGTCAGGAGCACCGATTCCACGGGCCCGTACCACTTCAGCTCCCTCTTTGAAACTACTCTCCCAAGGATGTCCACTTGGTCCAATGAGACCACCTGCAAATGACGAATGCGTTCAAAATCAGCAACAGATGCACTTCTCCAAGTGTACATCAAGCTGCACAATCCGCACCAAGGCGATACAACTGTCCAGATGCATTCCGACACAGACATTTGCAGCAATGTTGTGCATACACAGCAAACCACAGACGCAGTAACCCTTCCCCTTATTTTGCCAGATACCCTGTCCAAACAGAGGCACTCGAGATACCAGCTGGCCTGGCCTGGCTCAATTGGTACACATCTCTGAGCTGTTAAAATACAGACCAGGTGCAGAGTTCGAACTCCACTAGAAGTAGATGGGTAAAATACTAGAATTCTGAATTACCTACCGTCTTCACCCGAATAGAACGCCCGGTCATTATAGCTGTATTTGGCACAACTTTCGGTCCAGATGCAGTACGATAATGACCGACTGTTCTATTCGGCTGAAGACGGTAGGGCTGGTCAGTTCGATGATGATGATATCTCAAGGCCGTCGCCCTTTGGATTCAAAAAAAGAACAGAGAAAAAAGAGGCACTCGAGATTTGACGGAACGAACTGCCACGTACCTTTTCTGTTGTGAATCCAAAACAGTAAAATACTTTTAACCATACAGCAGAGCTATTCATGGAAAAGAATCAAAAGACAAAGAAAAGCATACAAGCTCTTATACCACACTTGAAAAGACTGATTGCAAAAGGGACATAGGGTTACGACAACAGCGAGGGCATACTCACACACTAGCACTTTTCAAAATGCATCCTACTCCAAATACAGCCCCAGACATGGATGAATCTAAATGCAATCACGCCCAGAGCCTCAAAAAAGAAGTCCTAGTGTGCGTATCCCCTGAGATTCGCAACCGAACATAATCTGGTGAGACACAAACCCGGCAGCCAATACCTTATGACCCCTAACCTGACCTGCCAAGCCTAATGAGGGCCTGTGGCGTACCATTTTTTGGCAATTTTTTGGCAGTCTGGAGGGGGGAAACACAAGCCTATTGAGTTCACCAATTCACAAAAAAAATGCCGGCCCTTGCAAACAATGCTCGTGTATTAGGGGTTCAAACTTCAAAGGGTCTTGTCTATATAATTAAATATCTATACTCTTGCTAAGAAGTGTAAGCCGGGTCTGGTGTAACGATCCCACCAGGCCGGGCTTCTACTCTTGGGAAAAGGCACAGGACAGGGGGCGCAGGCCCAACAGAAGCTCCCCCCTGTGCGTCTTGGTTTTGCTCACGTTCGGATACAAATACATAGCAAGGCAGGGATACACTTGAAGCCCCTTGCAGTTCTCTGTTTTTTCTGTCTTTTTCTAGGTTTGTGCGAGTTGGAAGTGGTCCTTCGAAGCCTCACCCGCTACTCTCCACACGCACAAAAGACAAAAAAAACATGTCCTTTTTTTTTTTGGTATTTTTTAACCTTGCTCCACGACCTTCCACATGCAAAAAAGACAAAAAAACGTTTAGCAGTGTATATTTCCAGCCTCTTTTTTCGTGATTTTCTTGACCAGTAGCAGGGCCAGGGCCTTTGCACGCTGTTTCTTTTTTTGGGGGGGGAAGTGGTCCTCCGAAGCCTCACCCGCTACTCTCCACATGCACAAAAGACAAAAAAAACATGTCGTTTCTTTTTTTTTTGGTAATTTTCTACCTTGCTCCACGACCTTCCACATGCACAAAAGACAAAAAAACGTTTCGCAGTGTGTCTTTCCATGTTCTAGAGTAGGATCCGTGCCTCTTTTTTCATGGTTTTCGTTGCCAGTAGTGGGGCCAGGGCCTTTGAGCGTCGTTTCTTTCTTTTTTTTTTGGAGGTGGCCGTTTGAAGCCTCACCCACTACTCTCCACATGCACAAAAGACAAAAACATGTCGCTTCTTTTTTTTGGTCTTTTTCTACCTCGCTCCACGACCCTCCACATGCACATCTTAAAAAATAATAATAATAATTATAAAAAAAAACGTTTGGCAGTGTATCTTACTATCTTTCCATGTTCCAGAGTAGCATTCGTGCCGCCTCTTTTTTCATGGTTCTCTTGGTCAGTAGCGGGGCCACTGCCTTTGCACGTCGTTTCTTTTTTTCGTTTGTTTGTTGTTTCTACCTTGCTCCACGACCCTCCAGGGGCTAAGTCCCACTACAGACGTTTTAACCAGTAGCAGTTCTGTTTCCAATCGTGTGTGGCCGTTGGTGACACACACTGTTCGTTGACGCAGGGCAATCTGAATAGCAATGGTGATTTTCATTTGACAGACCTCTAACCTTGGCGTCCCCTCCAATGACATTGTCCGAGTCTTCGATGTATGTTTTTATTTTCTTGTATTTGGACGTCTATGAAGATGCAAAATTACAGTCAATGTATGTTTTTATTGCTTTTATTGCAACTCCACAAAAAGCCTTTTCGAAAACAAAAATTGGAAGGAAAGGTATGGCTGCTACACTATGGCATGGCATGGCATGGCAGGGCATGGCATGGCATCTACTCCCCACAGTTGAAAACGGGAAGCCGGCATTTCCACTCCATACAGCAACCTGGAATCGTACTTGGGCACTCGGGAAACGGTGCTTTCTTCCGGTATGTGGTATGTGGCCTCTTTTCGCAGCACATACATGACCATAGCTGGCAGGGGCCACACTTCATAATGGAAAAGGTCTGATAAGAAATTTAAAGTTCCCAAAATGTCCGAATGGAAAGATGTCCGAGTGGTCGATGGTGTAGTATTGGAAATGCTATTGCTGAAAATGACAGTAAGCATGGGTGCACACCATATACCACGGAATGCCCGTAACGAAACCTTTTTTTTTTGTTTTGTTTTTAACAAAAGAAAACTTTTGGAGGACATTAATATCTGCAAATGACCGAGAAAATGTCAAAAAAAAAAAAAAAAAAAAAAAAAAAAGAGTTGAAAAAACTCGTCACACAAAGATTGAAACGTCTGTAGTGGGACTTAGCCCCAGATGCACAAAAGACAAAAAGAAGTTCGGCAGTGTATCTTTTTTTTTTTTTTTTTGCAGCGTAGCTTTTCCATGTTCTAGAGTAGGATTCGTTTCTCTTCTTTTTGTGGTTTTATTGGCCAGTGGTGAGGCCAGGGTCGTTGCTCCACGACTCTCTACATGCACAAAAGCCATGTTCGCCATGTTTAACATGAGAATGAATCCTCTAGAACATGGGAATCTAATACACCACCGATTTCTCTTTTGAGTCTTTTCCCTTTTGTGCATGTGGGGCACCCGCCCCGTGACATGGCCCTCCTCCGCGTCTCTCATCTCATCCCCGCCTCCGGCCCGCAGCTTGGCCACGGGGGTCCGACTTGTTACCCTAAAAGACCACCACTCCCGCAGCCGCTCCACTGTTCAGTTTCCGTGCCTACAGGTACCAGCCCGGTAGAGGCCCGGTGGGGAAGGGTACCAAATCTACAGGGCCAAAATCTACAGTGCCCAGGCCCGCTAGAGCTTTGGTGGGGAAGGGTACCAAAATCCACAGGTCCAAATTTACAGTGACCAGGCCCGGTAGAGGTCCGGTGGGGAAGGGTACCAAAATCTGCGGGGCCAAAATCTACAGTGCCCAGGGCCGGTAGAGGTCCGCTGGGAAAGGGTACCACAGTTACTTTTCCTCGCGGCGGCACAGTAGATTCTAGGCTCGGGGGAATGCAACTTTTGGTTTGTCAAACTGGCTCCGGATGGAGTGGTGGCCCGGTAGAGGTCCGCTGGGGAAGGGTACCGCAATTATTTTTCCTCGCCGCGGCACTGTAGATTCTAGACCACTGCAACCTCCACAAAAGCAGGTGAGGAGGGGGCAAAACACTGTGCTTGGTCATCAGATGGGTAATCCAGTTAAGTCCCGCTGACAAAAGTAGGAGGACCTAACTATCACAGCCATCAAAGATAATGGTTGGCGGTCTATAATCCCAATGTTCCCCCGATGAAAGATGTTCGTCGTCCCCGCCCCCCCCCGTCATTCTGGAAGAAGAACGAAGAACCCATGATGTATCTTCAATCACCTTACCGTTGCAAGCTGCGTGGTTTCTTGATTGAAGACATGTGAGATCCCACCTCATCGTAGGAGAAATAACTTTTTTTTTTTTTTTTTGCTTTGCTTTCGTTCTTCYTCCCCCCCCCYCYCCCCCCCCCCCCCCCCCCATTCTGGAAGAAGAAGGAAGAACCCATGATGTATCTTCAATCACCTTACCGTTGCAAGCTGCGTGGTTCCTTGAACCTCGCCGCCGAGGAGGTAGAGTCGGCCGCTAACTTTCCCCGTCGGAGCCCCACACCAGCTCAATGACCGTATCGGCATGCGTGGACCGCCCGCTGCCACCCTGATCTTCCGCATCGGTTGCCCCGAGACTGAGGGTGCATCCTGTACAATTGGAGCAGGCTCGCCTCCTTTTCCCGACGTACTCTGACCGCCCGAAAACTGTGTTGGTAGCTTCCAGATCCACACGTCTCCATTGCCATACCCAGCCGCGAGGAGAGCGCAATTGTCACTGGCCCAACAAATTTTTGTCAGCTCCTGCTCTTCTTCCTCCACGATTACACCGCTGCTTCCAGCGCCTCCTTGTGGCAGAGTGGCTTGCATTGAGGCTGCGAACATCGCTGCCATTGCCACTGAGCTGAGCGTCGCATGACCTACATTCGAGTGCCCTCCAGATTTACTCATCACTTCTGTCGATGATGGCGACGATCCAGTGTCCAATTGAGCCTCGGCAGCGATCTTCGCTGCATACTGCGACATTTTTGATCTCTGCTCCGATGTGCCGCCTCGAAGAGCAAGCACACGCGTCTCCCGAAGACCCCACACAACAATGATGCCATTGGAGTATCCAATCACAAGCCTGCAAAAATGTTTCCAATTTCAACTGTTCAGCACGCCATGACGCACAAAACTCGATGAGCAGAGTGATCTGGTCACCAATGCTTTTGAACAGTATATACCGTTCAGATGCAGTGACGCAGACCATCCCCTTTTCAGTTAAATATTACTCACAAGCTTAGACCTCGACAGGTTGCAAGTTTGGCAAGACACGCGAGAACCTGGTCCAAATGCAGATCACATTCATGCGATTCTCGCACAATCATTGAATAACAGAACCTAGCTAAATTTCCAATGCAGTTTTGCTTGACGAACAAGCGTCAAACAAGATCAACACCACCACAAGCACCGATGCAGTAACAAACCGCAACCCTCTCTCTCTCTCTCTCTCTCTCTCTCTCTCTCTCTCTCTCTCTCTCTCTCTCTCTCTCTCTC